TGCAAAAGGCATTGTGGGTTGGTGTTCTTTGGAAACCTTAATTTCCCCAGGTAGTTCCAACACACATCTTCCATGCCATTCATGAGGGATCCTAGGAACCCTTCAAGAGGAGAGACACCCTGCCATCCTGTTGAGGCAGTCTCGTGCATGGGCTAAACCTGCCATGCTTTGTAGCTGACAATGGACCTGAGATGTAAAATTAATCCACAATATCAGGAAGGGGTCCAAACAGGCACCCTTAGAAGCAAGCAATCTCATGCATTGGCCTCGGTAGAAAAAAATGAAACAATGAATACTGCTTTGGTGGTTGTGTGTTTGCAGGGGCTGTGTGTGAGAATTGTCTTAGATTCAGACTCTTAAATTCTTTGTGACTAAGAGTCTTAATCAGCAACTTCATTTGTCCAGCTGGGTAAGAATGAAATGTTGGAGATGGAGTTATCTCTGAGGAAAATCTCTAGTAAGGGAGTTAAGAAAAGGGGTGAACAAGAGGTGAAACGAATCCCAAGTATTGAAATGTTTTTTTTTCTTTCTTGTGATTGTTTCTAGCATATTTATAAGATGATTTCTTTGCTTTGTATGTTCCTCCCCCACAGTATAACCCCTGCTTACACTGTATTTGATGTTGGTATACTTTGTGGAGGGGAAGGGCAAAAACAAATCATTTAAATAGGGATATAGATGGACCAATTGTGACAATGAGATGTACAAGTCATTATGTCCAAACCTAACTATACAACTTTTTTGTGTGGGGGAGGGAGATGGCAAGGGATTGGGAAGAGGAAACAAAGGAGGAGGCAACAATGCTTGATAAGAAATGTACTCATTACCTTGTCCATGTAATTGTAACCCCTCTGTATGGTATTTCACAATTTAAAAAAAAGCAGTCTGAAATGCAGAGTGCACCAAAAAACAAAAACAAAAACTTCCATTTCAGCATGTGTCTGTGTTTTGAGAATTCTAAACCTAGGATGCCCTCGAAAATTGGAGCTAATAAGGCTCCCTCAGATATTCTTTATATTGTTGTCTTTTAGGGAGAATATGGGGAAAGATATGAAAAAATGTTTTAAGGCTGATTTTTATTTTTGAGCTCTATATTTAATGTGCACTTGTTAAATCTTGTATATCCCTGTCTCTGTGTATATATCTTCAGAATGATCTGTTACAGGCATTCAGTAATTAATTGACTTAATAGCAAAAGGTTCTTAAAATTTGGTTATTTACAATGGTCCAGGTCTAACAAGTTATTATTGCTATTACATTAAAAAACTTCATATAGGATTACTTTTTTCTGGATATTTAAAAGAATGTTATGTAAGTTTGAAAGTTTTATAAAGGAAAAACCAGCAAGTAGAGGAAACATGGGAATGATGAGTACATGTTTTTGGAATAGTTCTATAATAGGCAAGTCAAGATTGATTTAAGGGCTGGGAAGGTAGCTCAATGGTAGAGTGCTTGCCTTGCATGCATGAGGCCTTGTGTTCAATTCCTCTGCACCACATAAGCAAAAAAAATCCAGAAGTGGCGTTGTGGCGCTAACTTTGAGCTGAATTGCTGAGGGGCAGTGCCCAGGTCCAGAATTCAGGCCCCATTACTGACAAAAAAAGTTTCAAACAGCCCTGGGTGACGAAAATGGGGTGGGGTGAGGGATGATTTAACATCTAAGTAATTGTGTAAAAACAAAAAAAATTTAATGGGAGGGCTGTTGTCAGACCTTATCAAGCATGAATGTCAGAACTTAGAACGCCAGAACAAGGTCAGCCTGGATATGTCATAACCTTCCTTTTTTTCTGTATGTTTGTTTTATTGCAAAAATGTTGTGCAGAGGGGTTACAGTTACATGAACAATATAATGAGTACATTTACTATTATAAAGATAAACTCTGTTTATACCTTGGATCTTCCAGGGTAATTGAAGAGGTGGGAACCACAAGACCTCAGTTGAACCAGGCCCACTACTTAATCAGTCAGCTCAAACCTGCCAACTATTAATGAGCAAAGTTGGATCATCAAAGTAAAAAATACAATCCAAAAGCAAGTTTATTTAAGTCCTAGAAAGGTGTCTGGTATTGCAGAGGACCTGTACTGGAGACCTTACAGGCCAACTGGGTTGGAAACGGCACTTTGGTTCAACATACATCCATTTTACTCAAGCTATTTGAGAATGGCCAGGTTGAGAAAATGCTAACACCAAGGAGTGAGATTCATCCCCAGAGAGTCTTCCAACTATCATATTTGTGTAGATGCTATTGGGGTCTCCCAAAGAGTTCCTAATCAAAACCTGCTATTTGATTTCTAGCTTTAAACTGGTAATACCTATAAAATGTAGATTGGGTTAGATCCATTAGTTGATTGGATTAGATTTATTATCAGTAGAGCCTTGGTAATTATACTAGATACCATCAAGGTAATAACAGAACAACTAAGTGCCACTAGTAAGCTGGCATTGAAATACTAGCTCTAGGTATATAGGCTGGAAAGGGAATTATCTCTGTGGTGATTAGAAACCAATGCTGCACAAAGGCCTTACATAGATTGAAGGCTGGCAAAAGGTGAACCATTTACTAGCTTGTTGATCAATAATTTGGAAGACAAAGGAATGGTGCTGTCCAAATTTGCTTCTAGCACTTGTTTTCATAGCAATGCCTCTGTTGCTGGCTGTAAGAATGAGGGCAAAACAAACACCCATTTCTTAAATATTCTCCCTTTGGATACTGATGAATGGGAAAGTCTGTTAAAGCTGACTAGGTTTGAAAAAAGATAAAACAAGGCAGGACTGCAGGAGTTAGAATCTTTTCTACCAAAGTGCTTGATATTAACACTGCTGTTTAAAGCATAGCTGCTATCTTGCAAGAAGCTAAGACTGATTTTCTGACAAACTTGACCAGATATCCTTTTTTTTCCTAGTTGGAAAGTTTATCTGAGCAAGAAAGATTATGATTCCAAAGTTCTGATGTGTGAGAGTCATGGTGGACTGCCTGCTCAGCATGCTTGCTTGGCTTCATCAGTATTAGATTCTTCTGCAGAAGTAAATTATGCCTTGCTGGCTTCCTTTCGAGTTGGAATATCAGGTGTCACATAGGAGAAAACATCCTTACTTGGGATAGCTTTCGAAAAGCACAATTTAAAACTGTATATTAATTATACAAAGGGATTTTATTGTTACTTCCATGTATACATGGTGTACTTTTAACAGAATTTGATCACTCTTCCCCTTTTTATGGGCACCTTTATGGAACATACTTCAATCATCTTCATCTCCATCACTTTCACCTTTCCTGTTCCCCATCTGTCCAGTTCTTGCTCCAGTCTGAGGGTTCTTGTTTGCCTTTTATATCTTTTGCATAAGTTATTGTAAGCAAAAATACTTACAGAAAATAGACTAAAGACTGTGCTAACAAGGTTAAAAATTCTTAGAATGGAAGAAGCATTATGTTAATTCAGATATACCTATCTTCAAACTTTTCTGTTTTCATTCTTTTCCATGAGGGGCCTGCTTTCAAATCTGAAGTGTTTATTATTATTTTCTTGTTTAACCATTGATTCATAAGCATCTCCCATTACTTATTCTGAAAACATAGGCACCCATTGGTGGTGAGCCTGCCTGTTAGTGAGCAAGGGTAGTTTTCATTATATTGGGCTTCTCCCTCTGCAATCTGCTTTTTGCTCTGCAGTCTTTCCTGGAATAAAGCTGAGCAGCGGCAGAGCAAGTAGTCAAATGCTATGTTCACTCAGTGCGCTAGTCAGTAATCTGAAAAGTAGGTATGTGCTCAAGGTGGTCCATTGAGGCATGGTGAGAAACTACTTAACTTATATATACACACCAGGAAGTAATCTGTCTTTAGCAGTGATGTTATGAATACAAGATTTTGAAAATATTTTGGGGACTTCTCTACAATTAGGCTGGAGTTAATTTTGTGTTGCTATTACAAATACTTGATAGTCCCCTTAGAAAGGCTTATTTTGGCTCAAAAAGTTTGAGGTTCCAATCTATAATTGGGCAGACCTACCGTGTTAAGGCCTCCTATGTGGAGGATGGGGATGACATGATGGGTGTATGGTGTAGGAAAACTATTCACTTTATGGTCAAGAAAAATCTGGGGTCCTATTTCTCACTTCAAGGACACACCCTACATAACCAGAAGACCTCCCATGACACACACTAAATAACCAGAAGACCTCCCACTAGGTCTTACATTCTCATTTGCACCATCTCCAAGGAGCTAAGGGCTGAGTCTTTAAAACACAGGCATTAGGTGGACACTTAAGATCCAGCCTATAGCATTACTTTATGAACAGTAATGTGCATATAAATTATTGGGAGTTTGAAATGTAGCTTCAGATTCAATGGGGCTGGGGCTGCTGAGAATTTTTGAGTTTCTAATAGGTTCTATATTAACACGTGTTTGGGTTCAGGGATTCCTTTTTGAGTAACACTGCTCTTTGTACTGCATTTGTGCCATAAGCTTCAAGTATTCAGTCAGTATCTTAACACTGGAGGAATGAGAACAAGCAAAAGAAGATACATAGCTATTAGGCCCCTAAAAGCCACAGAAGATAGGCAAAGAGGTAGATTAAACACTAGCACAGATTTATTTGGAAGAAAAGTCTACACAGTGAACCATGGCTGGTCAATTGAATAAGCTATCTTTTAAGATACTGGACAGCATCTGTGACTTTGTCCAGGGGGTCAGTCCACTTCATCTGGAGGCCCCAGTGAGATCCTATTCTCGCCTGAACAGGATGACCCCTGTAATGACCTGACTCTTGTGTCAGGGGAGAGGCCACATGGGCACACCTAGTGGAAGGCCTCTGAGAGACATTCCTCAGCCCCAGGTGCCCTTGCTCTGCGGAACCCCTGAAATGGACTCTGGAGTTTGTTTTACCTGTAAGTTTCTGCTTGTCATCATCATGTATAAACATAAATGAGTTGTTTTAAACTCCCAAGAAAAGTCATCAAGTTGTGGTGTTAGCAAAAACTTGAAAATTAACTAAAGTTCCTCTTCAAAATACTGCAATAATCCTTTACATTTTTAATAAATCAGATAATTTGATTACAATGAACAGATTAATGCTTTAAAACACCAGATCTTCGGTTTTCTGTAATATCCGAGTTGTTATTCACTGGCAGAAATTTCTTCTGTTGTCTGGCCTCAGTCCTTCCTGCTGTTAGAAATGTACTCTCTCCCATTTTCCCTGGGAAAAGACTAGCCATGGGTACAAAACTGAAATCAGAAAACAAAACAAAATTATTGATAAAGGGCAAAAACCTCCTGGTAAAGAAAAACCGCAAAGGCTGACCAGTCGTCAGCTTTTGTCCCTTCCCCATCCTTGATAAAAAGCAAAAGAACATTGCTCCCTCACTCAAGTTTACCAAACTGGCAGCTTTGCAAAAGGCTATTGACAACCTGAGGCTTATCACCAGCTGCATTATATTGCTATGTTAGGAGCTTATAATAATAATAATTTCTAAAATAGTGTCAATAGCTTTGATAGTATTGATCATGCTGACCAAGTCAAGATTATGTTTTGCCTATGCTCCTGTGACTCAAGGCAATGTTTCTGCCATGTTTTGCTTCTGTAACCTTGTTTGCTTGCCTCGGTAACAAGGCCTTAAGCCCACCAATAGAAGACCAGTGCTGAGTGGTCCCACTATGAGTGGCCTATTACAAATGATTACATATGATATTACCAAAAAGAACAAATTAAAGGTCATATAACTGTAACCAATGAAAAATATAACAAACCTGCCTTGCATGGCTTTTCTATATAACTCTATGTAACCTAGCCCTATAAAAATACATCCTATCCTGAGCTCAAGACTGTTCTCCTATTTTCCTGGTGGTAGGAAGTGGTCCCATATGGGGGTAATAAAATTCCTAAGTCCTTTAACTTGGTTTCATTGAGTCTCTTTTGGATTCGGGATATAATAGATGTAGGCCCCAGTGAGATCCAGGACCCCAGGCCTTGAGTTCAGGGACTTTGGACTGGTGTCCAGAAGAGCCACTCCCTAGGGGATGGCTGTGGAGAGAAGTTCCTAGCAGGAACTTAGAACTCAAAAACCTCTAGGGTTAAGTTGAAAAAACCTGGCCAGGTGTACTGGAAGGGTCAGAGGGGAGGCTGGATACAGGAGAACTTCCAGCCCCGGAGGAGATTGGGATGCCTCTCTCCCCAGTGGAGGCAGATTAGGATTCTTAATCTGGAGTCTGGCCTCAATTGGGTTGTCTTATTTGTTCTGTCTCTGTCTGTTGGAGGTGCCTTCTGGTGCTGTTTGCTTAGGTCTGTCTGACCATTTATTTGGCCACCTGTCTGTGTCTGTTTTACTTGACATTTCTGTCTAAATGTCTGAGAACCACAAGCATTGGAGAAAGGGATGAGATGGAGAATCTCCTGTCAAACCTATGTCTCCAACCCCAGATGGTAGAGAAATCTTGGGATTAAGAGGAGACTCTCCTCTCAAACTTGGGTCTCCATTCTGGTACTGATAAAATTCTTAGGGGAAAGCATATTTGGCCCAAGCAGGAAAAGTAAGAAACAACTTCTGTTTAAGCTAATTCTGAGATCACTGATTGCTTTCTTTTTACAGAAATGCACCAAACTTCTTTATCCATCACTTTTGGAAATGCTTTTAGATCCCTTTTCTTATTTTCAGGAAAAAGTCAGAGCATATGAGTACTGTTACCCAAGGTAATCTCTGCACTCTCTGCCAGGTAGATTGGCCCTCCCTTAATGTAAACTGGCTGCAGGAGAGCTCCTTTAAACTAACCCCTCTCTTCTAGGTTCAGAGAGTTATTTTGGGGGTCTCAGTCACCGAAATCAGGTCCCCTAAACGCCAGAGCTCACCATTTTCTGAAAAAACTCCAGACAATTATTCAAGTTATTAGAATCTGTTATTTTTGTTTATTTGGGCATCTCTGGGGGAATAAAAGTTCCAGCTCTGTCTGGGCCTGGTCATAGACCTGCTCTGTTTTGTCCGTGTTGCAACAGTCAAGTGGTGGGCATGGAAGTTTGCAAGACCTTACAAGCTTCAGGTTGCATTTTCTTGCAGAGGCAGCCGGAGGTGAAGGCATAGACAGTTTGAGCCTAGTTTGGACATTTGGCTTGTCAGAAGAGTTTAAAAAATTGTAAAATGCTCTTGTCTAGAAAAAATTGTATAAAAGATAGGCCAGTTCAGTTTCAGGTGACTCCCACCTAGCCTTCCTCCAGCTGAAGGTATTCACAAGGCCAACTGGTAAGATGCCTTGCTAAACAAGCAAGCCCTGGGTAAATGAAGCTCAGAAAAGGTACATTGTTTAACAAATCTTAAATCTTTAGATCAAGATTCTGGAAAATGTAAGACTGATTTTCATTTTTGTTCATTTTTCGGTTTGTGTGAGTATGTTGAACATGTTCAAGATGAAAATCAGCATGCTGTAAAAAAGAGTTTAAACTCTAAGGAAGGTCATCAGATTTGGATGCCAAATGTCTTAAAGGATTATTGTATTGTTTTAAACAGGAAGTTTAGTTAAACTTTCTAAGAATTCTTTAATTTACAAATCAAAATCTGTATTTTAAAATTCGGTATTTTAAAATGCAAAGACAGTTTACACTGTAATCAAGTTATCTGACTCAACAAAAAGGCATTGGCTGTTTAGGATTTAGTTGCCTCTGCTAAAACTTGGGGATACTATTAGAAATTTAAATGTAAAGGTCTATTTAACACTGTCAAAGATTTTACCTGTTCTGTTTATTTCATTCAAGAACCAAGAGGAAAAAAAAAAGGGAAAACCTTAGACTCCAATAGAAGACCTAATTTTAGAGGTGAGGGATGTACAGGCAGAAGTGCAGCTCAGCAAGTCATGCAGGGTGGGGCAGGCCCTGGGGGGAGACCACGCAAGGTGGAGGAGAGCAAGCAGGCACAAAGGCAGTTCAACTAACCCTAAGAGTTGGGTGCATGCCCATTCCTTAGGAGGGGCCGTGTGGCCTATCTTCGTCCTGTCCCTTTCTCTTGCAGATAGACACTGGAAACGTAATAGTAAAAGTGAGTGATGTCAGGATCTGATTGGTATTCCTAACATTCCTTAACATTGAGAAAGCCTTAAAAATATGGTTAGAAAGTTTATCAGTATGTGCTTTGCTTTCAATGTTATTCTGCAATTGGATTTTTTTTTTTTAAGGCATATAGGCGGACTGGGCAGGTGGCTCAGTGGTACAGCAATTGCCTTGCATGCATGAATGCATGAGCCCCTGGGTTCTATTCCTCAGCACTGCATAAGCAGAAAAAAAAAGCCGGAAGAGGCACTGTGGCTCAAGTGGTAGCGTGTTAGCCTTGAGCTGAAGAGCTGAGGGACAGCATCTCCCCCTTCCCCCCCCCCCCCCCCGCCAAAAAAAAAAAAAAAAAACGGCATATAGGTGTTAAGTCTAGCTTCTTGATACAGTGCTGGTGATTAATTCTTGCATTAACAAAAAACGGTCATTTGAATTCAAAAGTTTGCAATGTATATCTGTTTTAAAACGAGCAGCCAAGAGGCAATGAGTGGTACCTAGCCTCAAGATTTCAAAGGATTTTTCAAAATGCAAATGAAAACTAAATATAAAATGTTAAAGCAGAGATTAATAAAAGACTTAAAAAATTAGGATTGGTAAGTCTTTAGCCCACTTATTTCTTGGGCAGTTGTTTCTTTTAAATTTGTTGTTGGGGGATTTAATTTTTTGAGTTCCAAGTATATTTTAGATATGAGACCCTTGTCTGTTGTGTGGCTAGTGAAGATCTTCTCCCAATCCATGGGCTTTCTGTTGATCTGAGGTCTTTGATCCATTTGGAGTTGATTCTGGTACAGGGTGATATGTAGGATCTAGCTTTAGTTTTCTACAAGTAGTTAACCAATTCTGCCAGCACCATTTACTGAAGAAGCTGTCTTTCTTCCATTCTATTTTTTTAGCCCCCTTATTGAAGATTATATAGTTATAGGTCTGTGGGTTCATTTCTGGGTTTTCAATTCTATTCCATTGGTCTTGAGGTCTGTTCTTGTGCCAGTACCAAGCTGTTTTGATTACTAAGTCTTTGTAGTAGAGTTTGAAATTTGGTATTGATATTCCTCCAGCACTGTTCTTTGTGTTAAGGATCACTTTTGATATTCAGTCTCTTTTATTGTTCCATATGAATTTTTGGATTGCCTCTTCTATTTCCTTGAAGAATGAGGTTGGAATATTGATAAGTATCCAATTGAATTTGTAGATAGCCTTGGGAAGTATTGCCATTTTCAAGATGTTGATCCTTCCAATCTAGGAGCATGGGAGATTTTTCCACTTTCTAATTTCTGTTTTGATTCCTTTTTTCAAGTTTTTAAAGTGGGTTCCTCATGGAGAGACTCCACTTAGAGCTCCCCTGTGACCCAGCAATCCAACTTTGGGCATTTACTTGAATGATCACAAACAAGGCCATACTAAAGCTACCAGCACAACTATATTTATTGCAGCATTTTTTACCATATCTAAGATATGGACCCAACCCAGATGCCTTCAGTAGATGAATGGATCAAGAAAATGTGGTATGTACGCACAATGGAATTCTTTGCTTCTATCAGAAAGAATGACATTGCCCTTTTGTTAGGAAATGGAAAGACTTGGAAAAAAATTATATTAAGTTTAGTAAATCAGGCCTAAAGAAACATAGTTCGCATGGTTTCCCTTATTTTCAATAACTAGTACATGTCTGAGAAAAGCCAAAACAGTCAGATACGTTGATGTTAGGTGAAATGAACCCCAAGATAAGGACTCAAATAGTTTTTATTTCTTGCTATTGTTTCTAACATATTTATATGATTCTTTCTTTTTTTTTGGGGGGGGGGGTCCGGTCGTGGGCCTGAACTCTGGGAGTGGGCGCTGTCCCTCAGCTCTTCAGCTCAAGGCTAGCGCTCTACCACTTGAGCCACAGCACCACTTCCCACTTTTTTCTTTTTGCTTATGTGGTGCTGAGGAATCGAACTCAGGGCCTCAGGCATGCAAGGAAATCACCCTATCACTGAGCCACCTTCCCAGCCCCTTATAAGATTTTTTCTTTGTTGCTTTGTATGTCCCACCCCCATCGGTGGGGGTGGGGGTTGGGGGTGGTGGTCGTGGGGAGAATGGGAAGGTATTGTAAGGGGAAACAAAGGAGGAGCCAACAAATGTACTCATAACCTTGTCCAGGTAATTGTAACCCCTCTGTATGGTATTTTCACAATAACAAAAAAAGAAACCCTTTGAACTTAAAAAAAAAAAAAAAATTAGGATTGGATGGGCTGGGAAGGTGTCTGGGCTGTGAAGGTCGCTTAGTGGTAGAGTGCTTGCCTAGCATGCATCGAACCCCGAGTTCAATTCCTCACTACCACATATTCAGAAAAAGGAGGAAGCAGTGCTGGGGCTCAAATAGAGTGCTAGCCTTGACTAAAAGAAGCTCAAGGACAATGCCTATGCCCTGAATTAAAGCCCAAGGACTGGCAAAAAAAAAAAAAAATCGGAGATGAATTCCTGGTAATAAAGTTTGAAAGTAAAATTGTTCTTAACATTTGTCTCAAAGTGCAAAAAGGGAAAATTAGGATTACCAAGATAATTGCTTAATTGCTATTTCAGTTTGCTCTTACAGGTTTTTTTTTGTAACAGTTCCCAGCAGGCCCACAAAAAGGAGTGAGGATTCTTACAAGTTTGTCAGATACAACTTTCAGCCCCTAATAAGTTCTAGGTAGACCATGCCTTAAACTATTTGTAATGACCATCTTTGTTGCTTTTAATTGGAGTAAATGTGGCCTTTTGTTTAGACTTGTTGATCTGAGAACGGTGGTTCAAAGCCAGCCTGGGCAGAGAAAGGTCCCTGTGAGGTTATCTCTAATTGGTCAGCAGAAGAGTTACTTTGGGGCTCAAAGTGGCAGAGTGCTAGCCTTGAACTCAGGGCCTGAGCACTATCCCTCATCTCTCCAGCTCAAGCCCAGTGATTAAGGAAAATCCCAAGGTGTATGTATCCCAGCATGGAGAAAGACACTCCTGGGACCCTGGGAATGATGAAACATCCAGAGGCAGTTACAAGTCACTGCTCAGATGGCAGAGATGGTATCAGATCCTGTTTGCCCCTTCAAAAATTGAGGGGCTCGGAAGGTGGCTCAGTGGAAGAGCGCTTGCCTTGCATGCATGAGGCTCTGCATTCGATTCCTCAGCACCACATAAGCAAAAAGAAAAAAGTGGAAAGTGGTGCTGTGGCTCAAGTGGTAGAGCACTAGCCTTGAGCTGAGGAGCTGAGGGACAGCGCCCAGGCCCAGAGTTCAGAGTTCAGGCCCCATGACCGGATCTCCCCCCCCCCCAAAAAAAAAAAAAGATCAAGTCAGGAAGTCATGGGAAAGTAAATTTTAATCATGCCTTTCTAAATGTCTGTCTGCTTCATAACTGGGCAAGAATGTGCCAGTCATCTAAGTGGGTTGTAATATGTGGGGGATAGTTTAAATCCCCAAATTAGGACTTTGAGCAGATACAGGGCATAACTGTTGGAGACTTCTTAAATTACAGGAGGGGTTCATTTTGCCTAACATCATCTTATCTGATCTTTTAGGCTTGTCTCAGACATATACTAGTTATTGCAAATAAGGGAAACCATGGTGAAGAGCTATAGTAACTCCATTTTAAGATCAAACCCCCTGAGCTGTGCTGCCCTCAGAGTAACCCCCAAAGAGAAAGTTCTCAGAAAAAACCCAGGTTGCCACCAACCCTGCCCATCCTTAAGGAACAGAACGGTTGCCTAAGTGTTCCATCAGAAAAAGGGAAGTACAGTCATGGTGGACTTAAACCCCCTGAGCTTGTGAACTTGCTTGTGTGGAAACTCCCTAAACTTGTTTGATACTATAAAAGCTGTGCTAATTTTGTGATGGGGGCCTCTTAGCATCACTGGTTACTGAGTGCGCCGAGGACCAAGCTCGAGCTTGCAATTAATGACTCTTTGCTGTTTGCAAACAGTCTGGTGGTCTGTGAGGAGCATCCAAAATCGGGTACTTCAATGGGATCTATGTTTCTTTGGGCCCGGCTTACTTCACTAGATAAGGACACAAGTGGTTTTTACTTTTTTGATATTGATTCTAACATATTTATAAGGTGATAGTTTTGTTGCATTTTATGTCTCTTCCCCCACAGTATAACCCCTGTTTTCACTGTATTTGCTGTTGGTATACTTTGGGGAGGGGAAGGGGGAAAAAAAAAACAAATGGTTTAGGGATACAGGTGAACCCATTGCAACAATGAGATGTGCAAAATCCTATGTTGAAAAACAAACTTTACAACTTTGGCATCGGGGTTGGGGGTGTAGTTGTGGAGATCGGAGGGAAGGGATGGTAGGGGAAAAACAAAGGAGGAGGCAATAATGCTTGATAAGAAATGTACTCATTACCTTGCACATGTAATTGTAGCCCCTCTGCATGGTATTTTCACAATAAAACTTATTAATATATATGTATATATATTTAAAAAATTACAGAAGGGAACAGCCCAGGGAAAAATTCAGATCTCTTACAGAAAAAAAAAAATCAATGATTACAAGTACATAAGAAAAAATGTGGGGAATGAAGTAAGGAGGTCAGATCTGACTGGTGCCATATTGGACACATGGTGAATGATAGGGTCTGGTATCTTGTCTTCATGCTGGGGGAAGGAAAATGCCTCCACCCATCATCTGACTCCCAGGTGATAGATATGTCCAGATCCCTGGAGGCAGGGGTGAGCGCTTGGCTGATAGTCCAGTGCCTGGGACTGGTAATTTCTGGCAGATTTAGTAACCTGTGGACCTGTCCCCTGCTGAGACCCTATTTAGGCCCAGCCCATCCCAGCCACCATTATGCCATGCCACATGTGTCTCTGTGATCATGTCTTGTCTTCTGACTCATCTCCAGTCATCATGGCATCACAATTCAGCTCTCCATTGGAGTTGAATTGGTTTGTTGGTATTCTTGTTTTTCTTTCTTTCATCTCTGACCTGTTTCCTAACCAT